AGCCTTCCTGGTGACTTTCACAGCTACCACGTTTTGCAAAGGTGGAGGAGGAATGCAAGAAGCGGAGTGGAGCACAAAGGCAAGGATGGAGTCTGTGTGTGTGGCACCCACATCTTCATTAGAGTGAATCTGCACATGGAGATTACTGTCCACCTAGAGCAAGGGATATATTTGCCATGAGTTGATTCAGTTATTCAAGGCTGACCTTGCTACCAGAGGCTGAGCAATGCAAGAAAACCCATATGCTGTGTGTCTGTGTGGATGCTGAAGCGTGGAAGAGCCACCAACTGCATCAGCCCATGGGCCAGGATGTCCCAGTGCTCCATGCACAGGTCTTGGGGGCTAATCACAAAGAAAATTGCTTCGTGTAGCCATCAGGGAGCATCCAAAGGAAAAGGGGCAGGTGAACGCAAGAACCAAAGCATGCTAACAAAGCTGAGATGCAGCAGATTAAGAAAAAGAGGAGGCTACGACCCAACAAGAAAGTGTTTGCAAGTGCAGCAAGTTCTCCTGGAGTCAAACAGACTGAGACAAGCCAACAGTCTCAACAGTTCTGAAATTTATAATCCACTAAGAAGAGGACTCATCCTGAAACCAGTCTTTGGTATTTACTAAATATTTTGTGCAATAGGTCAGGTTCTGAGAGTCTGTGCCTTTTGTCTACTGACGCAAGGAAGGTTTTTTTAATATCATTCAGAATGTAACAAAATATCTCTTTTTTCTAGTAATATTGCGCCATATTGTTTGACGGAAAGTCTGATGCACTGTTAAAAGTAAATATTTTTAATGAAAATCCTGTGTTCGCCTAACTGTGAACAAAAATAAAATCATTATTATTATAATACAAGAATAAAGTTGTTATTATAATATACAGGTAAATATTTATACATTTCTTGTTTATATTACCCTATTGTGTCCACAGGCATTCTGAGGTAGAGTAGCACCCAGAGGAGCCAGAGATCCAAGTCTGGCATTGCACAGAAGGAGGAGCTAGTCTGTGCCAATGGAGCTATAAACAGGGAGCTATGGATAGCAGTTGCTATGGATAGCATAGCTTTCACACCCCCACATTTTAAAACAAGAATTAGACACTCAGAAGGTAAAATGCCTGCCCACTCAGAAATGTCATGATCTGTGACCACCTGTCTTGTGATACTTGGCATTTTGTGATACCTGAAGCCACTTCTCCTGGAATCGAAGGGCTGCAGGACACTCTTCATAGGAAAAGGAAAGAGAAGGGGAACACAAGGAATACCATAGCGTGCTCAGTTAGAAAATCCAGTTTGCAGTATGTTGGCTGATCTCAACAAGCTAAGATATTGGAAGGAAAAGAATAAAAACTCTGCAGGTATTTTCTGGCCATTCATACTGTAACTTTTAAGATACTACAGACGAAATCAGCTCCTGACTTTTCAGTTCCAGGGAAGTAATGTGGATGGTTTTGCAGGTTGCACACAAAGCCAGACATATATCCAAGACTTCTAGGGCTGAGGAAGACATAGAATTATTTAGTATATGGAGAAAATTTAATTCAAAGAAAGGTATCTGGTTATCACTTTCCCAATAACGGCTAACGGAAAGCAGAAGTGGCATTTAAGATATGAAAGAACATTTCTGATCCATTCTTAGAAAGAAACAGACATCATATCCCCTGATGATGATGATGAAGTATTTTCAAGTATCCTAGCAGTGAACGAAGGATGTTAAAATTTGTTGAGAAAACACATTTCTAAAACTGCAGATCTGGAAGCTTTGCTGGCAAAAAATCTTAACAGAGAACACTGTCAGTGCCTTTGGGTGATCAAATTGCTACAGAAGTCAAAGCCTAAAGGAGTAGCTATTCCACAGATTGCATAGAAAACAGCTCCCTCATCCTCTGACTGCAAATCATGACCTTTTTGCCAGATGTGCATTCTGAGGGACTAATGCCTTCAGTGAAACTGGATACCTCAAACAGGAGAAAAACCCTGGGACCTGCAAGAGCAAAAGATTGGCTCAGCCTAAGAGGTTCTTGCAAAATATATGGCCCATCCTCCTGCACTGGGAAATCATAACATGCTTTGGTCAAGTGTTGCTGAGATCAGCTCAAGGGAAGCTGTAAGAACATGATTACCCTGGCACATACAAGTCAGCCACTTTGGTAATAAATAACCCTACCTCCACAAAAGAGGGTAACCAGGTTGCTTAAGGCCTGAGCTGGTAAGAGTGAGAACAGTCACCACAGGAAGACCACAGTGATGAGTCCAGACTCTGGCCTCCCACACAGTCGGGGCTGGAGGTCTGAGCAGGACCAGGTTCTCACCAAGGAGGATCTGTGCAGAGGCCAAGCCCAGGCAACAAACATACAAACATACAAACTCTTCCACCAAGCATGTGGGCAGGCTCAATTTGCCATGAACTTAAACTGAAAACCAGTTTGCAAGTAGCTTTAGGAACAACTTCAGCATTAAGTCATCAGGGAGCTCTAAAAGCCTGGTCCTAGTGTTCTTGGCTTTTCTCTAACTGCCCCATGCCGGCTAGTCTGGGCATTTGAGGACAGATGGGTGTCTGGCCAGAGCAGTTTTAAATCTTAGTTGTAGGTAATGTTGCAAGTCCATCGGACAGAAAATTGTATAGCTTATTCACAGCCATCTCATTCCTCGGGCCTTTACCCTCCTTCCTAGGGAAGACAGATTCATGATTCCTAGGAACACTTCGGGTGCCGCTGCGTGGTGAGTCCATATCCTTTCTGTTCAGCTACTCATTTGTTCCACCTATTGCGCCAGTGTCAATCTGCAAGACCTCTAAACTGTTGCACTTCCCCTCCTGAGTCTTCCGAAAAAGCTCTTTGTCCCTCTTGCGCTGTAGTAGAGCTGCTCACTTTTCACCTTTCCACAGTCAGATTATTCTTACTTTCTGGGTAGTTTCCATCTTACCACCTCATCCCACCCTGATTCAATGACACTCAGCCTGGTCCCTTCCCAGCGGTCACCCTGCTTAACCAGTTTCTTTGGCTGCTCTCACCACTCCCCACACAATTGCTTCTGCTTCCAGATTTCTATCAAGCCCTCAAAGTTCAAATTCTTCCTTCTTTCTTCAGGATCCACAAACTCCCTTTGTAAGACCACTGTGAAAGTCAGAAAAGATGTGGCGCCCATTGGGGTCCACTGCCCATCTCCTTCCTGTGACATGTCAGAGTTGAGTCCAGGCTCTCTTACCCGGGCTTTCCCCTCTGCTGGGCATGCTCCAAAAGAAAGAGCCTGCAGCCAAAGGAAGGCAGATGGGACTCACTAAAAGCAACAAAAATTACTTGAAAGGAACTGCTTCCTTGACTGCAGCACCATTTCTCACTAGGAGTACTAAAGTACTGCCCATGACATCCCTAGAAAAACTGTGCTGAGTATTCTTTATCATGGTCACATCTCATTTTGTTCAAACTGAATCAGTTATTGAATTAAGCAGCTTCATTTTTTTTTGTTGTCATTGTGGAGGGAGATCTACACACTATTGGAGTGTGTCTGCCTGCAAGGGTGCCCTGCTTAGCTCAGGACACAGTCTCCAGCCATTCCAGCCAGCAGTGTATGACCACTAGCCATTATCTCCACTTTGTCTGGCTCTCTGGCAGTTTTCTGCCTCCTGAAACCATGGACTGCAGGCATTTGGGTTTAAGTGAGCACAACTGGCTGATGCAACAACTGACTTAAGGGGCTGAGAGCTTTTGCTGGAAAAGCCTAACTGCAGCCTGGTTCAGGCAGAAGGCTCCCATCTAGAGCAGCAGTAGATCCTCGAGCAGAAGGGATGTCCCAAGGGATAGGAGGGACCAAGTAGCATGGGTGACCTTTAGAGACATCAGGGAAGGCGGAATGATTTTTCTTTCCCTTAGTCTTGAAAGTCCCAAAGTACGTCCATCCCAGTTTGAGCAATGCACCACTTCCCACGGTTGGAAATTTCACATCAGCAGGGCTGCCTTTCTGTTTCAGCTTGTGAGGGGAGGCAGGGGAGTTGGAGCTACCAAACCTGGAGATGATTTCCCTGCCAGGGAACCAGGGAGAGCAACCCAGGGACTGGTACGCAGTGCTACATCCACCATACATACAGACATGCCCTTGCCTTCACCCCAGGCCCCAGCATCACAAGGCTGAAGCACAGTCTACCACATAAGCAGCTGCAGCTACAGAATCTCCGACCTCAATACCTGCAGGTATCAGCTCACTGTAGTGTCCCAGTGACTCCACACTGGGATCCCTAGAAGACCCTGCCTGGGCAGGAGAGGGCCTGTACCCAGCAGCACCTACGCACACCACACTGATGCATTCGGAAGTGGCTGTCCCCAGCTTCATGCATTCCAGGACACAGTGCAAGCGTGGGCCTCTTGGAAGGCCAGGCACTCCTGAGGAGGCTCCAACCCTCCAGTCACATCCTTACATTCTCAGGGAATGTGTCCAGTTCAGGATCAGATCATAGTCATTAATAATGGGGAGGCCAGTGCTCAAGTGACAATATGTGGCCCCAGACTTAGTTCTGACTTCCCAGACCCACAAAAGCACTGAGTAGCCTCTGGGCCAGGCTAGTATCTCAAACAGTTGGGCTGGACATGCACATGGCGGGTGATGTGAATACAGCACCACAAGGACTTTTGCTTCCTTCTCCAAAATTCAGCACTGCTCTCTCAGATCCCAGGTTTAGCCACGCCCCCACAGTTAAGCAGCACGGTTTGATGTACTGTGAAAATGTATTCTTAACTGCATAGGTCTTCCCAAATCAGTTCTTTATTTCCTTCTTTCAGTACAATTCACATTAAAACAAGCACTATACTTCAGGCTGTGCACACGCTCTTCGCCCAAAGCCTGCAAGGTGACCAGCAGGGCAATGGTGTTCAGCAG